TTAATGATGCTACTTTGAGTTGAGTAATTGTTTTTAACCACGAGTACTGGAGGAATTGATATATTTTTTTCGAAATTAGTTTGATTATCATATGGATTGATTACGGTTACAACGGCGTTGGTTACATCATCAAAATTCAATATGTCATCATCATTGGTATCTTTGCCGGAAATCAAACTGCGTCTAATTCGTTCTTTTTCAATCTTCAATTGATCTTGCCATTTTGAATTAAGTTTGATTAGATTAGACGTTGCTGAAACAAACGGTACAATTTGTCGATCAATACCTGCATTTGAAATATGTTGATCGTGTTCTAAAACAATTTATATTTTTTCTGAATAATATGAGTCATAAAACAATTAACACTTACGATTCATGTGATTGAAACGTCCAACTTTTTCGACAGCTTCAATTGTTTCTTGAATATACACATTTTCTGTTGATTTTTTTGTGGCATTAATTGCAGTAGCTGTAAATTCATCTACACTGCCTATTAGTTGAATCAAATCGTCGATATCATCTACTTCGTATTCACCATCAGCACCTTCATTCGATGGTACAAATATAGGTTCAATCGAATCATTATCGACTTGTGCTTCGGCAATAACTTTAAGTAGATGATCATCACGATTTTTTTTACATTCATGTAAAAGTTGAATATTTTCTATAATATCCCATGAATAAGCAGAAATAAGATCTTTTCGAGATTCGAATGCATCTTCCCATGTTTGATCGATGTCACAAAGATCGGCTACATTGCGCCATGGTACAAAAAGTGTGAGAAGTGCACGATTGTATCGTTCTCGAGTATCATCACGATCTTGTCGAGGAATTTGAGGACCATAAAGAACGGGCACATGTATCTCACTATATTTCATCAGTAGATGTTTGTTGTTTGAGGATGTTCGTTTTGAAAAGAAAATCGTTCATTAGATGGTCGACCTCTTTGATTATCTTGTCGTTCTTGTGCTGTAGAAGATTTTGATAAATATCTTAAATCTGTTTCATTAATTTTTTTCTTATAGAATGTACTGACAAAATCATATAAACACGTGTTATTGAGTTTGTCTGAACGATATTGATAATCAATGCGTGTATTAACAAGAATAAAGTTGCTTTTATCTTCCGCCGGTTGAACTTGAAAATGTTCTTCATCGTTGTTTTCATCGTTAATTGCTTCATCATCAAATACATCCTCATCATCAATTGCATCTATATGTGAAAAAACGTACATTTTTTTAATTATCGTAAATGAATTGCTCCATCTTTTTATATATCAATAAGTAATCATACTCGTATAATTCAACTTGCTTCTCGACACTTATTTATAGCAACAGTACTGAGATCACATTAACACCTTCTCATCGAACATGACTTATTGATGACTTCGCTTCAAAGGTATATTAAGCTGCTTGTTTCCTTTTCTCTTTCCTTTAATTTTTCACAGATTAATTGTTTGTATATTGAACGTTATCCTTCTTCCTATCATTCCTCTTTTCTTTCTGTCTTAACATATACGTGTGCCGCTAATCAATTGTTATAGGTCAACTTTCCTTATGTTCAATTTGAGCATATCGTTATCTCTTTTTCTTCCTCTTTCTTTTTCTTTTTTGCGTCCTTCTTTCTTTTTCTCCTTCTCTCTTCTCTCTTCCTCTCCTCTCTCTCTCTCTCTATGCGTCTCTCACGCTGTACATATAAAAAAAAAGATTGTCACGGCATGAAAGTGAATTAAATAATAAGCATATAAAAGGAATTAATTGAACTTACCCTGCGATGTCGATTGAAGATTTTGTTTTGCACGCATTTCATTTAATTCACTTTGTAAAAAT